AACGGTCACGAGGAAGCAGCAGACGACGAAGGTTAGCGGAAGCCATTGTAGCCTTGGTGACCCGCAGGGAGGTCTCATCCGGCAAACTGCCAATACTGAGACAACTTCAAAGCTAAATGAATTTGTGGACCACTTCACTCGGATGACTTAAAAAAACGAGAGAAGGAGATGAACTTGTAACAGGACCTTACATATGGAAGGGGACAAAGGTCAAACCAAATTGGGAGACGGACAGCTCCAGTCTAAGTAGTACATGCTAGGCATCCTGGGAGGAAGCACAAATCACAGTAATGTCATCAGCGTACTCCAAATCCCGAACGCGGTTACCAAGGAACACTTCAACGCTGCAGGACTCAGAGCTTTCCACGCAGTTTCCAGGATCTCTTCCATGGCGAAGTTAAACAAGCATAAAGATTCTGTGCAGCCCTGTCTAACTCCGCTAGTGATACTGATAGGGGCGAAGAGTATACGTATACTCTCACTTGGCCAGAAGTATGATGGTAAACGGTACGGAGAATGCGGATGTACTTCTCAGGTACTCCGCTCTTCAGTAAGCAGTCCCAAATAGCCACTTGGTCAAGAGAGTCAAACGCTGATCGGATGTTCAGCTATATGTCTATGATTGGTTGACTGAACGTATAGTGAGGTTCAAGTATCTGGGGGATCGTAAAGATGTGATCGACGCAATTGATACCCTGGCGAAATGCAGCTTTTTGTTCACGTAGGTCCTGTTCCCGTACGTAGCTGAGCTTCCGCAAACGTAGAGCAGCTAGCAGTTTGAATGCGATACAAATACGACTGATGCCACAATGGTTGGAGCAATCGATTCGGCCTCCGTTTTGTAGACAGGGACAATATCTGCTAATTTCGCATCGGGTGGGATGGTTTCCGTAGTCCAAATCTGATGAAAGAATGTCAGTTAACGGATGTGTGCCGGACCCCATATTTGAAGTGGGCAGGAGGTAGTTCCTTTAGCGCAGGTGAGTTGTGGTTTTGTAGTAGGTAAAGCTCATAGGAAATTTCAGACTCAGTCTGTGGAGAAACAACAACACGCCAAGGATCACGGTGAATTCAGGAAGATGGACTCGGTTGTGCTCTTGGTCAGTCGAACTGAACTTCAGTTGACCTGCCCATCGTACCAGACGACGGTGACGATTGTGAATCAGTTCGCCGTCCTTTTCATGCAAAACCTCAACCACTGTTAGCCTTCTGCCTCCCGTGGACGTTATAAGTATAAAAAGTTTGCGAGAGTTTCCTGATGAGGCAGCCCGCTCCATCTCAACTACGCGTTGTGGCCACCAGACCTCCCAATCCTTCCTGAGAAGCTGTCTGAGCTCAGCACTTGTGGTTCTTTGTAGTTCGTTGTAATCAAATCCGGCGGGAATTGTTCGACGGCTTTCCATTAATTGGAGAGACTGTGCGAAGATCAAATTACTAGCAGCTCATCTAGTGAAGCCATTGACGAGAGTAGCGGACTTTCGTCAGGCGCTTTGAATCTGTGCCCAGTGTGTCACAACATCGGAGGACAGAGTATGCAGGTTGGAGTCCAATGTGTTCTGAAATGCACCGAGAACACTTAGGATAGCGAGCTTGTCTGTGGCAAGCCGTTTCCGGCGACGCTATTGGGTGCCACCAAAACACAGAACGAACTTAGCACACATCAGTGCATGAACCGAAGTCAAGTAAGTGTTCTAAGTTGACTTGCAGTCAACTGCAATTAAACTGCAGCCTCGCCAACATTAACTAACAATGCTGTGGTCAATATGCGTCCAAGCTGGACCAGGCGCTGGGGGCCGCCGGGTGGTTAGTTGCCGCAAGGAACGCCTGAAATTGGTGCACGTAAGAAACAAGCCGTGGTCGGCACACACCTGTAAGAGTCCATGGCGATTGCCCGCCCTGCGAGTGCCGTGGTTGTGTTAATCCCCAAGTTCGCACGCATAAACCTCTAGTCTACCGGCCTGCGCATTTAGATCTTTAGCGATTACCACGATGTCCTTAGGCGTTTATTGCGGATGTGGTTCGTTAGTTGGCAGTAGAACTCGACTTTGGCTTCATCCGGGCTGCAGTCCGGAGGAGCGTACGCTGCCACAATGAATAAGCAGTGCCTACTGGTCCGTGGCTAGAAGATCGCACTGAGCTGCCCAAGCGAACTGCAGAAACGCGGCTGTTGACCGTGAACCAGTCAATAAGCGCTGCCTCAGCACGCGTGCTTAACACAACTCTTACACCGATGTAACCAGAGGCTGTCGCGGTCTCATCTCCAGCTAATCATAAGGTGAATGTGCAGTGGAAATTTGATGACAATCAGAACAATCGCAGTGTTGTGCTTGAGTCCTGGAAACGGGTTTCGGTCAAGCAACGAACGTCGATTGAGAGTGTTTCCAAATTGTGCGCAAGAGCAGCTTCTGATCCAACCTGCATAAGCGTTCGAACGTTAGATGTAGGTAGCTTGAATAGCAAGGGGGTACAATAAAAGCATTGCTCTTGTAATGGAACTGTTACCATCGGTTTTGAGCGGTCCATTAATGGGACCAAACGTACCTATTTTAGTTGGAATGCATCTTTGGAAACAAGAAATGGGAGGGGGTTGCAAAGAACAGGATGGTTGAATAAATGTGGAACGAAGAAGAGAGTTTGCGGTGCAGTAGATTGAGGTTTAGTGTACTTGGCCGCCAGCACCTTGGCCAAAATAGAGCGTCCAGTGAGCGCGAATCGTAAGCAGGAAACGTAAATATATCATACCGTGTGTTGTGTGGGCATACAGCTTCCCGATTGCCTAGGCCGAGGAAGGGGGTTTACTTAGGGGGCCCTACCCGGAGCCTTCGGTCATAGGGACCTGATCCGCAAAGCAGCCGGGCGAATTCAGCGAATCGCGCCTATTGGAAGCCGGTGACCGATTTCTCCGCTTCAAACGCCTTTCGTTTGACGGGCTGCCAGACAGGGGCTCAACACTCCCAGTTATTCAGCGTCCAGCTGCAAGCTTACAATGCTTCAGCATGGCGAAGCCAGCGGCAATGCCTTTATTTATTGGCGTGTCACATCCGCCACGTCGCAGTGTTGTTAAACGGACATATTTGGCTTTTTATAGTGAGTGCTAGGCGGAAACCCACCGCGACCTGCATTACTGCCGCCGAATCTATTGCTGAAACATGTAGATCCCGAACTACCCAACTGACACCATGAGAAGGTAATTCGGCCAGCCAGCCGGTAGTCCGACAAACCAGCTGCAGGTATAACATCAGCATTCATAACATAGCCAACATTGCGACACCACCCCATATACTGTGCATAGGAATTTAAAGGAAAATATTCCGTATGTATGGCGGACTTCAGGTCTAAGTTTTGAAACACTGCGATTCGGAGAAACGGCTTGGGATTCGCCGCAGGTTTTTGAATATCATAAACATCCATTCCATTATTTTTGCCAATGCCGTAGTTTTCCAGTTGCATGGAGCACAGAAGCAACGTTTTTGTGCAACAAGTAATCCACGACGATACAGCCCTTCCCTTTTTGCAACATAGAGTAAAGTTCACGGCATGAGCTGGGTTGACTAGCCAAAAAATCGTGAGACCATTTCTCTTTTCCAGCAATGTGACCGGTAGTGTAGTGTTTAGCAATAACAACGCCTTACTTTTCTGACCACCAAAGTAAACAAAATGCTGCAAAACTGCGTCGTTCCACAGCTGGAGGCCGGAAGGTTTTTGAGTATCTTTTGGTGGCAACAGAATGGTGCACCTGCACATTATGCACAACAGGTACGGGATTATCACAGTTAGATCAATCGGAGAGGACAAATAGAGTGGCCTGCCGGGACGCCAGGTATAAACCCCTTGGATTTGTTCCATTTGAGGGACTTGAAACGGAGAGTTTACAAAACCAAGCCCAATTTTCTTGAGAAATTGAAATAGAGCATTTTGAACAAGCGTTGAACGAGCTTGGCAGAGATATTAGAAAGAGTGCCAGCCAACGGTCTCGGGCGACTTCTACGCTGCAAGCAAAACGTCGGTGGCATTTTGAACATCTACGTCGGTGCTAATTATGACCGTTAAAGCGATTTTATGTAAATATATGTCATCCATAACAAATGAATTAACGAGTACCTTGGTGCGCTAGTAAAGGCCGACTGAATGTGGAGAGCATCGTCCAAAGCGAACAAGACGATAACATGAAAGTGTTACGCGGTGGCTGTTGACTTCCAGGGCAACAGAGGTTTTCAAGGAAAGAGGAGTTAAAGGAAGTGGGATTCTATTTTGTAACGAAAAGAACCTTCTGGAAGCTAAAGGTTTGTTTGAATGCTAGTTTTGCGGCTACGAAATGGTTAGTCATTATTGTGTTCCGTCGTCAACTATGATGGCAAAAGCGCCCATCGAACAAATATTGCTGAGGGCCAGGTTTGTCTGCTTCATTGCTGGGACACTGATCCGATAACCAAAGTAAAATAATGTCACTAAGTTGCATCTTAGACTTAATAAACGCTATCTACCTATCGATCGTCATATTCCGAGTCGGGCTGCTTAGGCTAACCCAAAGTGAACGCGGCACACATTGGCAACTACGCCTACCATCTGCTCTGTCAACCTATCGATCGTTCCACTGGCTACCAGGTCTCTGTTCGTCCCTCGACGAGCGGTCACTCGACTTAGGTCTGTTCAACATTCCATGTACATGCACACCTAGGAGTTGGGAATAACTTGATGATATGCAGGCGTGCAAGTGCGTTTGTGCGCACGCTTTCGGCAAGCCTTCCTCCACCATTGTATGGCCGAATAGCTTTCGGCAACTTCTAGGGTAACCTTTTATGTGCGCTTTATTGCGCGTTATCGACGCGCTACTCATGAAAATCGGACTACATTGATCAAACCTAATGTATAACCCGGTGATCATTCGAGTACGTTTCAAGCTTTATCACTGTTAGGACCCTATTGGATCACTTATTCGTCTCTTGTGCCTGTTTCTTGATGCACAGTTCTTAACAGTTCACAATTCAATATCTTTTTAGATACAACCAACAACTCCGCGGTATAGAGAACCTAATCGACTTCAAGTCGGCCGGCTCCAAGAAATGTTCGAATCAAGAACAACAAAACAGGGCGAGTGCACCACAGCACTCCGTCCAGTGAACAGGATGTAAATTCATCATTGTCTCTTGTGATCTCGGTCCGCCTATCCAGCATTTGTCTGTCTTTCATTGTGTTAAGACACTTGAATGATGCCTGACGCAATTCCACAGAGCCGCTAACCATGCGGAATGCACCCACACAAAATTGCATAGGAAAGTGCACGACGTGCGATAACTGTATGCACGGTCAGTTGGACCGTGTGCTCTTTTCACTTTTCTTCGCATATTCATGTTCAGCTTCCGACCGACTCACCGAACGATACAGCACATTTCCAGATGACGGCATCCCCATCAATATTTCTCATACGTTAACGATTTGTAATGTCTCCGATCCTTCCGTTTTGCTCACTTATGATGACGTTTTATCCAGAAAATTTGCCTTCAAGTCTTTCGGTTTTGTCTTATGCAGCCATTCCTAAAGTTGGATGTGGCGCATCCTATTGACAGTACAGCGAGCAGTAATGTCGATGATGATTGCCCCTGCTACTCGTTAGTCGGGATTGGGAAACCTTTATGACAGATGAATCGAGTTTTAATAATTTATTTTGATTCCACTTGTGTACAGCTGGTTAACCTATGAATCTCAGCCTAGTATTCAATGATACAAACTCTTGGTGTCTCTAAAAGTTACTCTTCCAGTTTTGAGGTTTTTATAAAACCACAGATTATCATGCCAAACATCAGGACTACGGCAACTACTAACATGCCCCTGGGCACACCGAACTCACCGTTGTACAAATGCTATTCTAGTCTCCTTCATGGAATGCAGTGCCTCTGATGGGTGAATTCCTTTTTTAAATTGTATTCGCCTAGTAGATTTTGGTTGCGAATTTGTTGCAGACCAGAGTTAACATACAATTTCGTACATCTCTAGCAAACAAATCTATCCACCCATCAGACAGTCCCCGAATCAAAATTGCAGGGAATCTGGGCGAATTGGTTCAGTATAGCGTAAGGAATGAGGTGCTTCTATTTTCTCCAGCGGATATGCAACAGATCTTCAAACACAAGCAACGAATCTGTCTTAGTCATAGCCTCATTGCCATATGTCACATTCCTTATTTCGGATGTTTGATTTTGAACTGAACTAAACTTTCTTAGTTATCTAACACATATAAACAGATGTACGTACTTTCTTGACCAAGTGAACCCGTGATTGGATCAAGTTTGTCTGTACACCGATCTATGGCAACCATCTTACAAACCCGTCAATAATTCCATGAAGTATATCTGTTATATAACTAAGCTATTTCGTACTCTAGACAAGATGATCATAATTACAGACAAGGTAGTCTATAAAATTTTTAGGCGGTGACAGCCAGCGAATTCAAGGGAGCACACGAGAATGTCTTGTTTGATGGACAATCCCCATAATCTAATGAGAATTGGGGAATTACACATTTTTGCACGCTTCTGGCTGTACATGACTGCAGCTAAGTCCCTCGGCTCCATATAATTCGGCAACCACCATTAGACTACAACATAGACCCAATGTGAGCCACAAATTTGAGCCCAGCACTCTGTTAATGCTTAGGAATGGCAAAAACTGGCTATGTTAAAACGCGATCAGCTAAATTACGTCCAATTACGTTTCGAAGGCACCAATGTAACAGGAGTCTAGTGATGGAATAGATTTGCACTTAGGGCAGACTGCTGTTGATGCTCCAATGCAAATCTCTCTAGTGATTATCCATACATGTAAAGGGCGCATTGTGCATCGGGCACAATTCGTGTGCAAGCTAACAAACTCAGTGTATCCCCGCGGGAGATAAGCCTTATTTATAGATGCGTGTTTATTACTGCTCGTTTATACACGTCATGTTTGTTTTGCTATCCCCTACATTACGCTGAAGTGCATCGATATTCGGCTCACTACTCGTCCAATGCATGAGTTACGACTCTGGCGTTCACTCCTTCTCGCTTCACTCGCTATTGTCCGCTTGCATGCCTACATGAATATTGCGCACTACGTCCTGTGTTTTTCGCCCTCTGGGCTCAGCATTCGAGTAAGTGCTTACGTTTTAATTGCGGTTATAAGCCCTGCAAATTCGAGCAAAGTGCCGGGTCCTCGAGTAGTACTGATTGGCCAACCTGCCCGGTTCCCGTGTGAATGGGTGCATGCTCTTCATTTATCTGGTAGGATGACCGCATGGGTAAACCGTGCAGTGTATTGATTTCACCCGATTTCGTTCATTGACGTTTCAACCTCACAAGTAATGTAATGATGAGTCGCGTGGGACGGCGTTCTTGAAGCTTGTTGCAGGAGAACGGGCACTGATTCTCACCATAAAGTTATAGGTACAATGTAAAGTCAATTCAGCACCATATGCCTGCTAGTTTAACACATTACTTGAAGGGATTCACTCGTTTCTGTTTGGAAAGCTTTAGTCAACACCCCGCAATAGCTAGTTTGCAGGCAGCTGCGGTGGTCGATAGGCTGTCGGAAGCCGTAGCTTCCGGTTCCTCCAGTTAAGCAGCACTTAAACATAGGGTATCAGTAGACCAACAAGATAGTGTAATGGAAGTGCATTCTGCTGGTATAAACAGAAACGGGCGATGGCGGGACCTCCAATTCTAACATTACTGTTCCCATTGGAACAATATTTTGCATACTCCAATCCTGTTTTTTAGTTTTTCGTATATTTTTGACAAGATCTAGCAGGGCTATTCTGAAGGTCTCTGTTGATGTCCTAATGCGTCGATCTTTAGATAAAAATACAGGATAAAATTTGGAATTGGCGTTTCCCTAGAAAAAGTAAGGAACACTAGGCTGACTAACCCTAGAGGTGCCATTGGCAGACTACATATATTGTTGCCCAAAAACAAAGCTAAACAGCTTAAATTAGAAGCGCAAATGAAAATCTAAACTTCGTATTGTCTGAACCAGCACCTGCACACGCGTTGAACGCAGAGAACTGCAAGGCGACTGCAATCCAATTTTGCACCACCATCTGACTCGTGCACCAAAAACAAGAAAATTCTAACGAAAAAGCGTCTGAACAACCAGAATTTTCTTGGGATACGCCCTCGAAACGTAGAAGTCGGACTGCGCGATGATCACAACCCTATTTAGATTAAAAATAAAGCGCTATTTTATGTGTTACAGAGCATTTCAGAGAGGTTCAGTGGCGGGTTTGATGTTTACCTCTTTGGCCCTGTACCACATCGCAACTTTCTGGTCAGGCCATGTTACGTTGGCCAAGCAGCCCTGCTTGTGTCGTTCAAACTGTCTCCTCTCCCACACGACGTTTGGCCAAACGGCTTCCGCGTCTCATCGAGCCAGCCCCCGTTCTCACACTCTGACCCGGTATTCGTTTACACAGCAACGGTAGGGCGATTCCCACGTTTCGCTTCTCGCGACAGCAACCAAGTAAAGTCCTACGATAAAGTATCCGAAGAAGCTGAAAGCCTTAAGTAAGGGCTGTTATCATAAGATAAAAGCCAAATTAAATTGGGTGGATTATCTTCATGGATAAAGATGATTACTAGCGTATGCCAACTACAGCACTTGACAATCCATGAAAGTTCAGGAAACAAAACGGCTAACACGTAAAAGGTAAAATCCAGGTTCTTTATTTACATGAGTCAGAAGGGCCTAATTAATTTGGCTCATCTCGAAAGAAAGTACCCAGTCGGTACCGTGATTTCATGACTTTATGATCCGCCTAAATTATACACAAGAAAAGCGGCATTATGCTTCATACCGGATATGAACCATTTCCGGTATTACTCAATGGCAATAGTAGGCTGGACTACGGGAACCAAGGAAGCGAGAGCTGGCCACCAACAGTTTGAGGAAAAGATTTTGGTTAATGATCACTGTAAGCTTTCTGAACATGGATGACAAACAACAACTGTCCCCTAATGGCACTTGACTGTTTAAAAATATACCTACTGAGAGGATTGCTAATTATCTGGGTTACTACACTGAGAGTGCAGATTGGCCAACTCGTAAGGAAACGGGATTTCGTGCTTTATTGGCGCAATCACAACGTTTTCTTTCTTGTAGCCTAGTGATTACACAGCCAAAATGCAGACTATGGAGAAACCGGTAAGGAGAACACCCAGTCAGTCAGGTTTACCTCACATATAAATTATCCTGATGCGCCGAAGCGTCGGAAGATGGTGAAGCGCGAGGTATGACGAAGTGTACGTGTACGTAGAGTCCGATCGTGAATAGAGCAGGCGGCGACGCGCACAATCACAACAATCCAGCGGCAACCAAGGTAGAACCACGGAAGACGAGCTCGCAACCAAGTGTATGTATATCTAGTTAATTAAAACAAAGCTGCTCAACAACTGCAGCGAAATAGGTAAGCGTGAAAATGAAAAATAAGCAACTTATTTACAATCGCTACAAGGCTAACAGTAGGTTTACCACTAGGTCCCTAGCTCACCAAGCTTTTTTCCAAAACTAAAGGTACACTGGATAAAGTAATTAGATGCTGCCAGTTTATAAACCCCTTGTTATTGATGTCATATACGTGACAGACAGCACAGTGAAACAAAGGAACAATGGTAGATCAGATCCTTGGAATCATTCGGTTACGCATATAAGCAGTAGGACATGAAGTTAATATCTTATTTGTAAAAATGTTGCATCGCCCAGAATGGTTTACGCAGTTGGAATCTACAGCACTGCAAGGATGGCGGCATTCGGTTTCGGATTTGTCTGTCACTGTGGCATACACAGGCACAACCACAGAACGCTTGCGTATATTGAGGGACCATGGGTGGCTTGCGCTGCAGCACCCACTGCTCCATTCACACACCCATAATCAGTGTAAACCTGAAGGAATTAGACCGGGATGTATGTGGATGGGAGCCACGTTTCATCAACGAAGCCGGACCACACTCATTCACAGACAAACATAAGCAAACTGTATTTGAGAATCAATCACACACAAGGCGGTGGGTGGACCGTAGTCCGCTCCCCACTGAGTGCACGGAACCACTCTTTGATCCTAACACGGCCACAAGAATCGTGCACTGCGTCCCCTCCAGCAACGACCAGCAGTCTCCTAGCGTCAGTGTGGACGACGTAGTGAGTAATAGACAGATAGGCACCCTGTCAACATGCACATCAAGTGCAGCCACACCGGGGCTATCAAGCAACAGCGAAGCATTAAAAGGATGAAATAAAATAAATCGAATAATGCATACAGATACGGCGGCATAACTCTTCACTAAATGGGCGTATAAAAAGGTTGATTATGAAAGAATCCCCGATAAGTCCAAGAAGTCAGAAAATGTGTTTTAAGGAAATGCCACAAACGCGAATAATTTATCGAAATTAACTACAACTGGTCTAGGCAACATGTGCAAGTTTATAGAAGAGCGTACGGATAGAGATTAATATGCGAAAGCAAAGCATCACGACAAATTGTA